CTCTATTAGAGGAAAAGCCATCACTTTTTTACCGCTCTCCCTTTGTTTTGATGGAAGATTGTAGGTTTTTTTTATGTGCTCTTTCTCTCTCCATCTCTAAAAAGGAAAGGATGGGTATTTCAGGATTGAATCAGCAGACAGGGAAGACAGTGGCCATTGTTGTAGGAGGTGCTGCTGCGCTCTTCTTTGCCTTCGTTTGCCTCTGCTTCATCAGATCCCTCTGGAGAAAACGCGATGGTAACTGTAACTCTTTCGTGATCCTTATGCCTCATACTTTCTCTCTCTTCTTTCCCATTAAAAGAAAAAGATAAAAGGAAGAATAGGGCAGTGTCTCATGTCTTTTTCTCTCTTCATTTCTTTCTGTCTCTTCCTTTTCTTCCCCCCCTCTTTCTCTCTCTCTCTTTTGTACAGGCTTCTGAGCAAGAGGGAATCATGGAGGGACTTGGCAATGGTTTTGGTCAAGACGTTGGGCGGTTTCTCGATTCAAAACGTAGAGAGAGAAAGAGAGAGGCAATCGACGAATTTGGGAAATCGAGGTGTTTGGGTGCTTGAATGAATGTTTGTCTTTTTGGCTGGTGGGTGAGAGAAAGCCTTGCATTTTTTGGCTCCTTCTATTTGCATTGTGGGCTTTGGAATCATGGACCCATAAACAAACTCTCTCTCTCTCTCTCTCCTCTCTCACTCTCTATCTCTCTCCTCTTCTGGGGTTCCCCATATCTCTCTAGTTCTCAACTCTCTCTCTCTAAGATATATTCTCTTCTCTCTCCTCTCTCCTCTCTTTCTCATCTTATGGGATGCCCACATATCTCACTCTCTCTCTCAAATGTTCTCTCTCTCTCTAAGATGTATTCTCCTCTTGAGGGGTGCCAACATATCTCACTCTCTCTCTAAAATGTAATCACCTGTCTCTCTCTAAAATGTATGATTGCTTAAGAAAGGTGCCAACAGATCTCACTCTCTCTAAAATGTAATCACCTGTCTCTCTCTAAAATGTATGATTACTTAAGAAAGGTTTTGTGCCATAAGCAAGCATGTAATCACACTGACTTTCTCTAATTCTTCCAAAACTATGGAATTGTTATGTGTAATCTTTGACATGACATCTTGGGCCCAACTGAAGACTTACTGATTTTCCCTTGTTTTGTTGTAATGGTGCACTAATGCCATATCCGTCCCCATCGGTCCAGCAATTTTTTCATGGAAAGTTTTTTTTATAGAGCTGCAGCCCTATCAAAATGAGTAAAACCTCATCGAAAATTGTATTTTTAGTTTCGGAAAACCGTCAAAGCCATTATATCGGCCTTGACAATTGTGGTTATGAAAAAAAAAGATTTTATGTCCTAAAAATAGTGTATATTGTAATGCATTATGTAGACCGTCCATTTCACATATGAGTCTTTACTATTTTTTGAGTTCCATTGAAAGTTGATTTTAGAGCCATGAAAATTTTGGATGTCCAAAGTGCTATTCGAAGGAAGTTTCTTTTATGAAAACAAAATAAACCCTCTCTTCGAATCCTCGTCCAAAGGGCATTTTTGGTAATGGAAATCTTCACTACCTCTAAAATCAATTTTCAACGCTGACAATAAAATTTGGAATTAAAAAAATGGTACAGATCTTGTGGATCTATAAACACTTATTTTTAAAACGAAATTGATGCTTTAGATAATTTGTAACAATATTTATTCTTTTTAAAGTTTAAAATCCTAATTTTTTTCACAATCCAATGTTCGAGACGATCGATGTAAAGGTTTTGTAATACTTGAATTACAATTGTTTAATGCGTTATAAAATGAAGCTTAACTTATTTTTGAAAAGTCTGCAGCCCTATCAAACTATTTTCCGTTTTGTCAAAAACAAAATTATGGTGGCCATGTGATTCCTATGCGGTTTACAGGCTTAAGCTCAATTTCCAAGAGAAATCATAGAGTTTGCTAATTCTCCTTTGGCAATGGAGTGCGGGCCAAGCTACAAATGTGTTAAGATAGTGGCACTCATGTGACCTGGTTTGAACATTTCCATAGGCATTTTGCAGCTGCACTCTCTAACCTAGTTTCTTGTGCTTTGAACTTTTGTCTACTTTTTAGTAAAATGAGGCAACAGATTTAAAGTTTTAAGAAGAATATGA